AAACTCACATTCACAGACTAGTGAAATGCCGTGATACCACACAGATAACCACACATTCACCGTCGATTCACCTATAACCTGTGACAGGTATGAGAAGGTGAAAACTGTGGTTGATATCTCAGATCAACACAGACACAATAAAACAATGACAAAATCTTGTACTTACAGATAAGGTACCTTTCCTTACTCACTCACTCAGGCACATTTATACAAGCACTCGTAGGTGGCCTGACAGCTGGTTTCGCTCTTAGACACGGAGGGTACTTGCAGCAGGGCGGGCTGTATGCTTAACAGACAGACACACGCACACACACTGGCACTGGCGTTGAGTAAGGTGGTGACGTCACGTGGTAGTGAGGGCAGCGGCGGGCGCCTCGTGGTACTGAGGTACTGAGGTACACGCTCGGGACGAGTGGCGGCGGCTGTGGTACCATGCAGGTACACTTGTGGTAAAGTCACACACAGGTTACTTAGGCGGCGGCACTGCCTTAGTTCATTCTAAGTCACTCACAACGATCTTTGTCACCAGGGGTTACCTGATACCAGTCTGTTTCGCTCTGGTGATTTTGTCACTTTAGGCTTCTGAACAATATATCCACACTCGTGATTCTGGGCGAGTGTGTGGTATATCGCAGAGACGCTGAGTTAACTTAACGGTGAGGAATAGATGGTGTTCAGTCTATTGGCCAGTAGACAGAACAGAACCCATCCTCTGGGTTTGGTCCCCCTCACGTGAATGGGTTTTGCCTGAAGCTCAGGGCGTCTTGTGAGGCACACACAAGGGGATTACAATTTGACCAATAGCATTGCAGCAAATGAGCGGGAACCAATCATAATGACCGTACGATGAGCAGTAGGAGAGGTGACGTCATGAACATGTCACGAACACGTCATAGCTGTTATTCACCATCGCGCCGGTTGACCCCAGAGGTCACACTGTCCCACACTCCCACCGGCCAATGTACTCACTGACCCTTTGGTGGCAAGTATGCTTAACTCCCTGTATCTACTTCGAGCCTGGACATACGGCGGCCTCCGTATTATAAAAGTGTTCCTGGTTAAGTGGGCATTCTGGAGATACCCAACATGCCAGGTCACTATCCAGGGTTAAGAGAGATAGGCTTGTGCACGAAGATCAGTGCACTGTCAGTATAGGAAGAGGCCAAACCCCCAAACATACCAGCGATACAAAGATGCGAGAAACAACTATACAGCAGTAAGGAGAGAGGCAGAAAGAAATTTTGAAAAAGGGATAGCGGATAAATGTAAAACAGAACCGGGCCTATTCTACAAATTCATAAACAACAAATTGCAGGTAAAGGATAATATCCAGAGGTTGAAAATGGGAAACAGATTCTCGGAAAATGAAAAGGAAATGTGTGAAACATTAAATGAAAAGTTCCAAAGTGTGTTTGTACAAAATGAAATCTTCAGAGAACCAGACACAATAAGAATTCCAGAGAACAACATAGAGCGGATAGAGGTGTCTAGAGATGAAGTGGAAAATATGCTAAAGGAGCTCGGTAAGAACAAAGCAGCTGGCCCAGATGGCGTTTCACCATGGGTTCTGAGAGAATGTGCATCTGAGCTCAGCATTCCACTTCACCTGATCTTTCAGGCATCCCTGTGTACAGGAGTCGTAGCAGACGTGTGGAAACAGGCTAACATAGTTCCAATCTACAAAAGTGGCAGCAGGGAAGATCCCCTCAATTATAGGCCTGTATCATTGACAAGTGTAATAGTGAAAGTATTGGAAAAACTAATCAAAACTAAATGGGTAGAACACCTGGAGAGAAATGATATAATATCAGACAGACAGTATGGTTTTCGATCTGGAAGATCCTGTGTATCGAAGATGGTGTTGAGATTGCGAAGTCGGATTGCGAAAGGGATCTGGGAGTTATGATTAGTAAGAATTTAAAACAAAAGGATCAATGCATGAATGTTCGTAATAAGGCGAATAGGACACTGGGATTTATTAATGGAAGCGTTAGTAACAATACACCTGGTGTGGTTCTTAAGCTATATCTTGCTCTGGTTAGGCCCCATTTAGATTATGCAGTTCAGTTTTGGTCGCCGTATTATAGAATGGATATAAATTCACTTGAACGTGTCCAACGTAGGATGACTAAGTTAATTCCCCAAATTAGAAATCTTTAATATGAAGAAAGATTAATAAAGCTTAAGTTGCATTCACTGGAAAGGCGAAGAGTTAGGGGTGACATGATAGAGGTTTACAAGTGGATGAATGGACATAACAGGGGGATATTAATAGGGTATTAAAAATATCAACAAAAGACAGAACACGAAACAATGGGTATAAATTGGATAAGTTTAGATTTAGGAAAGACTTGGGTAAATACTGGTTCAGTAACAGGGTTGTTGATTTGTAGAACCAATTGCCGCGTAACGTGGTGGAGGTGGGGTCCCTCGATTGTTTCAAGCGCGGGTTGGACAAGTATATGAGTGGGATTGGGTGGTTATAGATAGGAGCTGCCTCGTATGGGCCAATAGGCTTTCCGCAGTTACCCTTGTTCTTATGTTCTTATGTTCTTATGAGTGGGATTGGGTGGTTATAGATAGGAGCTGCCTCGTATGGGCCAATAGGCCTGCTGCAGTTACCTTTGATCTTATGTTCTTATGAATTTACTCAGTTTCTATGATCGAGCCACAGAGATATTACAGGAAAGAGATGGTTGGGTTGACTGCATCTATCTGGACCTAAAAAAGGCTGTCGACAGAGTTCCACATAAGAGGTTGTTCTGGAAACTGGAAAATATTGGAGGGATGACAGGTAAGCTTCTATCATGGATGAAAAATTTTCTGACTGATAGAAAAATGAGGGCTGTGATCAGAGGCAATGTATCGGAATGGAGAAATGTCACAAGTGGAGTACCACAGGGTTCAGTTCTTGCACCAGTGATGTTTATTGTGTACATAAATGATCTACCAGTTGGTATACAGAATTATATGAACATGTTTGCTGATGATGCTAAAATAATAGGAAGGATAAGAAATTTAGATGATTGTCATGCCCTTCAAGAAGACCTGGACAAAATAAGTATATGGAGCACCACTTGGCAAATGGAATTTAATGTTAATAAATGTCATGTTATGGAATGTGGAATAGGAGAACATAGACCCCACACAACCTATATATTATGTGAGAAATCTTTAAAGAATTCTGATAAAGAGATCTAGGGGTGGTTCTAGATAGAAAACTATCACCTGAGGACCACATAAAGAATATTGTGCAAGGAGCCTATGCTATGCTTTCTAACTTCAGAATTGCATTTAAATACATGGATGGCGATATACTAAAGAAATTGTTCACGACTTTTGTTAGGCTAAAGCTAGAATATGCAGTTGTTGTGTGGTGCCCATATCTTAAGAAGCACATCAACAAACTGGAAAAGGTGCAAAGACATGCTACTAAGTGGCTCCCAGAACTGAAGGGCAAGAGCTACGAGGAGAGGTTAAAAGCATTAAACATGCCAAAACTAGAAGACAGAAGAAAAAGAGGTGATATGATCACTACATACAAAATAGTAACAGGAATTGATAAAATCGACAGGGAAGATTTCCTGAGACCTGGCACTTCAAGAACAAGAGGTCATAAATTTAAACTAGCTAAACACAGATGCCGAAGAAATATAAGAAAATTCACCTTCGCAAATAGAGTGGTAGACGGTTGGAACAAGTTAAGTGAGAAGGTGGTGGAGGCCAAGACCGTCAGTAGTTTCAAAGCGTTATATGACAAAGAGTGCTGGGAAGACGGGACACCACGAGCGTAGCTCTCATCCTGTAACTACACTTAGGTAATTACTGTGCACTGCAATGAGCCATTCAAGTCAGCTGTGGGAGAATCTTGAGAGACTCTCTCACATCCCTGAAGTAAGTAGAGAGGTTATGTTGGTCCAGATGTGATCAAGAGCTGTGGCACTACTATCAGTGATTCTAGTAGATCTAGTGATTAAGGGTATGAGGAAGCAGGAATTCATACAGTTGAGGAAGCTGGCAGCAGTAGGGTGTTCAGGCTCGTAGAGATCAATATTAAAGTCCCCTGCGATAATTAGATGGTTTTTGTTCAGTCTGTTATCTAGTATTAGATTTCTAAGGTTTGAGTTGAATTCGGACACATCAGTGTTAGGAGTTCTATAGACTGCTCCCACAGTCAGGACAGACTGAGCACCCTTGACGCTGAAACTGGCGAAGATATACTCCCCACAGTAGTCTCTAGTTCTAATTACTTTTAAGCATGTTAGTTCTTGGTGGTAGTAAAGAGCAGTACCACCACCTCTCTGAATTTGACGACAGTTGTGAATTACTGAGTAGTTTGGCATGTTAAAGAGTTGAGTAGTATACTCTTTTAACCATGTTTCAGTAAGTATAATAAAAGAAAATTTGTTGTCAATAGTTTCAATCAAGGCACTAACATCATCGAAGTGTTTGCTTAGAGATCTTACATTCAAGTTAATTACAGAGATATTGTGATTATGTGTTAATACATTGTTTACATCATGAGCTGTAAAATATCTGCAATTTTGATCATTAAAGTGATGATTGTCATAGATAGTGGATAAGAGGTTTAGTTCTGGGTCTATACTTGTTTGCATAAGAAGGCTGGTTGTAGGAAAACAAGGCAAGAATGGCAATTACAAAATATAATTTTGATATAAAAGGGTGGAAAAATAAAAATATAAACAAGATTATACAATGGCCAGAGGCACATAATGGGCTCAGGGACGTACAGTATTACTAAAATATATAACAGGTTATTCAAATTATTTCGGTACATTAAAAATCAGTTTAGAATCTATTCATAATAGGCTAATATTCCACGTTTGTATTTGAGCTGTATTATTATCGTTTTTTGAAATGAAGATATATACTTTATTATATTTCCTTGTATAAACATGATGCACAGCTTATATATTACAAGTAGATTAGGAAGTTACTATTTATTAAAGTTAAATCGGGTGACTGCGCTACCCAGACGTCCCGAAGTGTAAACAAAAATGAACAGTTTGCCTGACGTTTGAGAGTCGCATAGATATAATTTTGTCTGTCCCATGGCTGTGATATTTTTATGAATATGGCTTCAGTTAAAGTAGCAGTGCGTGTCCGACCCTTCAATAAAAGGTACGGAAGGAGGTAACATTTATTATGCATGTTCAGTAGGCAAGAACTAGTATAATTTTGAAGGTCAACCTCTAGCATAGACTCGTGATTTAACCCCGAGAGTCGAGTGGATGTCTGGATTATGCTCCGCCTGGGGATGGGGGTTGTCACCTGAAAACGTATTATATTTTCACCCTGAGGGTCACGACTCGATACGGCTGGTCTTCAAAGCCCAGGATTGATATAACCTACCATGTAACCTACCTTACCCCGTTAAATGTCAACCCATGCCATGCTATTTTCAAATAATACTGTTTGTTGACCAACATGTATAATTGCTGATTTTTGCCTTGTTCCCTCCCTTTTTATTCCTTTTTTAACACAATTTATACTTTAATCTCAATTACTATTAAGTTTTAGTCTAAGTGTTTTTTTCCCCACACCTTGCCAGAAACACTACGTATTAGTGGCTTTAGGTATTGTATGTATTAGCTTTATCTATAAATTCAACATTATGTTTGTAACTCATCTTTTATGTATTTACTTTTACCTGAATAAAAATTTGAATTTGAATTGGAATTTTTAATTTGATGCAACTCCTGCTGCACTTGTCATCTGGGGCCATAAGGAAATTGACAGTGTTTCAATTTACATTTTCTCTTAGAGGAGAGAGGTGAATCAGCGCCAATGGGATTTAGAGGGCTCTTGGTGTGCCCCGGCAACATGGTGAGCACCTATTTCTTGCTTGCATCTGACTGCTTCACATACTTCACAGATGGATCAGTAGACCAGAAGGGACAAGAAACTGGAGCTGCAGTTAAGGCTGGAAATTCTGTAGTTAGTTGGAGAGACTCAAATGTGGGTGTTCAACTTTAGAAACAGAGATGCTAGCCATTAAAAAGGCTTTGGAACATGCTCTTGTTAAACACCGACAACATGTTATCATATGTACAGATTCGAGAACTGCTATTGAAACCTTGCAACAACAACTCATATGTGACAACATCCATCTGATCACTGATGCCATAGCACTAATGCAAACACTCAAATGTCAAGGCCGTCGGGTACTTATCAACTGGGTGCCAAGTCATGTGGGAATAATAGGAAATGACACTGCAGATGAAGCTGAAAAACTTGCAACTAAGAGAAGAAATGTAGACATTTACATACCACAGAGTCTATCACAGATTAAAAAAGTAATTAGAAATAGAGCAATGCAGAAGATGTACAGTGACTACAATACAGCTGCTGCAACATCAGGATCTGTGTGTGTTGGTACAAGAATTCAACCAACTACAAACTACTTATTTTGATAAAAGGGAGCAGTAGAACAACAGATGTACACTTACATTGCATCAAGCGTGGATACGAATGTGCATGAGAAATAGGCTTACAAGTTCCAGAAGATGAGAGGAAATGTCAGCACTGTGGAGAAATGCCCAACAGACCACTGGAACATTATCTAACACATTGCATTTACAAACCCAATTAGATTTCAACTTAGATTCAACAAAGCAGTTGTTGTTAAACACACATAGACTTTTTTTTCAGGAATATTCCTGCATAGGGCCCTAAGCCTCTGGATGGCCCACTAAGTGTTAATTGTTTCTGTTTTACTTAGATGGAGTATGAGTATTTGATTCATATGTTCACTTCAGTAAGATTATGCCCCATGTAATTACCTAAGTGTAGTTACGGGACACCACGAGCGTAGCTCTCATCTTGTAACTACACTCAGGTAATTACATGGGGCATAATCTTACTGAATTGAACATATGAATCAAGTACTCATACTCCATCTAAGTAAAACAGAAACAATTAACACTTAGTGGGCCATCCAGATGCTTAGGGCCCTATGCAGGAATATCCCGGAAAAAAGTCTCTTGTTTCATCAGGGGTGTTTGGAAGATTTATAAATTACTTCCTGATTGGGTTTCTTTTATTGTGATCGACATAAATATTCTGCATTTGTGGTTTTGAATTTATTTGATTGCCAAGGGGTTAGACCCTGCCCATCAACATTGGTGTTCCTCAGGGCAACATACTTGGCCCTCTCCTCTTTCTCATCTACATTAATGACCTTCCAAATGCCTCTCAACATCTCAAGCCAATTTTATTTGCTGATGACACATCCTTCATTTTCTCCAGTCCTAACCCTCTTATTCTGAATGACACAGTGTATACTGAACTAAATAAAGTCCATCTTTGGCTAACTGCTAACAAACTCACCCTTAATATTGACAAACCTTCTATATTTTCTTTGGTAATAAATCCTCAGATCAAATTAATCTAAGAATTAACAATATTCAAGTGCAGGCGATGAGTCACAATAACGTGGCTGAAGTATGTTGACCAGACCACACACTAGAAAGTGAAGGGATGACAACGTTTCGATCTGTCCTGGACCATTCTCACGTCGATCGTTTAACAATATCCAAATTTGTAACATAGTAGATGGTAAATTCCTTGATGTACTCATTGATAACAAGCTGAATTTCCAGGGCCACATTCAGAATACTGTATAGCAAAAAAAGTTTCTAAAACAGTTGGCATTCTTTCTAAAATCAGACACTATGTACCTCACCCATTCCTGGTAACGCTTTATTATTCTCTCATCTATCCAGTTATCTATCTCAATTATGGTATCTGTGCTTGGGGTTCTGCTACTCAAAATCAGCTACATCCTCTAATTACTCAACTGAAATCTGCTATTAGAACAATATACTGGCTCCAGACAGCACTTGGCCCCTTACTTAAATCTTTGAATATTTTAGATATTAAGTCACTACACATCCTTTCAAGTGTACTCTTATATATTTAAAACTCTGAACTATAATGCTAATCCTGAACTTAAATGCTTCCTTGAATGGTGTAACAGAACCCATGGGTACCACACTAAAAACAAATACCTATTTGATATTCCAAGAGTGCAACTTAACCAGACTAGAAATGCTCTGCAAATCAAGGGATCCAGAATGTGGAATGATCTTCCCAATCATGTCAAAGACTACCCCTCTCAACCAGTTTAAGAGAAAAACTAAGTACTGTACTACCTAATAACTCCATGTAACCTACCTTGCCCCCTAAATGTCAACCTATATCTTGCTGTTTTCAAACAATATTTATTATTAACCAACTTATATAACAAATCATATAACTGCTGATATCTGCCATATATAAACTTTAAGAAAGTTTAGTCTTCTGTTTATTTTGTTAAAATTACTTCTGCTGTTCTGTTTCAATTTCTGTTGTTCCAGCCATCGTGTAATTATTATCATTCTTTTTCTTTTTTCCCTTTTTCATTTCAATTTATACTTTGATCTCAATTAGTTTTAAGTGTTAGTCTTAAGGGTTTTTCCCACATCTTGCCTGAAACGCTGTACATATTAGTGGCTTTAAGCATAGTATGTACTAGCTCTATCTAGAAATCCAACATTTTGTGTGTAACTCATTTTGAATGTACCGTATGTACTTTTACCTGATTATATATTTATTTTTTATTATTTATTATGAACAACTTATCATCTAGGGTCTCTGGGTTTTGATAGTCCTCTAGTTTAACTCTGTATGGTATATTGTGAGGAGTCAGTTCATGTCCTATTGTAGGTTGCCAGGTGTTAACACGTCAAATGTTGACTATTTCTTAAACAGCATGAACTCCTGTATGATAATCCCCATAATCACCAAGCCCACATGAATCACTCAAATATTCACCACTACCTTCGATCATTTATGGACTAACATAACAGCTCCCCTTGCATCTGGTATAATCACTGACCACTATCCTACCTTCCTCACAGCAAACATGGACATAACACCATCAGACACCAAGAAACTTACCTTTAGGCTACACAGCAAAGCATCAGTAGGCAATCTCACAAATGCACTTCACAATATAAATTGGGAATCTGAATTCAATAATACACAGTATATAAATTCATTAGCCAACATTTTTCTTTCCAAAACTTTAAGCCTTTACAACACGCACTGTCCTCTCCTCACCATACTGGATCTAATATTCACTAGGAAAGAAGAGGAGGTATTTAACATCCAGTACCTTCCTCCCTTGGGAAAGAGTGATTACGTACTCTTGGACATTAAATACGCTTTGCGATATAATCTAGTAGAGAATGGGGACATTGAAACAGTTGTTAAACTCAATTTCAAGAGAGGACGCTATGGGGAACTTAGAAATTTTGTTCATGGGTATAATTGGGCAGACTTGTTGCTAGGTAAGGAAGTAAATGAGATGTATGCCATATTTTGCAAAATATACGATGAAGGCACACAAACATTCATACCAAAACAGAGATGCAAACTTAGGAAACAGGATTGGTTCAACAGAAATTGCGAGAGGGCCAGAGAGCAAAAGACACAGGCGTGGAATCATTATAGAAAAAGGCCAAACCCCCAAACACACCAGCGATACAAAGATGCGAGAAACAACTACATGTCAGTAAGGAGAGAGGCAGAGAGGAACTTTGAGTATGGTACAGCAGACAAATGTAAATCAGATCCAGGCCTTTTCTATAAATTCATTAAAAGTAAGCTGCAGGTAAAATATAATATTCAGAGGTTGAAAATGGGGGACAGATACAGGGAAAATGAAAAGGAAATATGTGAAACATTAAACGAAAAGTTCCAAAATGTGTTTGTACAAAATGAGATCTTCAGGGAGCCAGACACAATAAGAATTCCCAAGAACAACATAGAGCACATAGAGGTGTCTAGAGACGAAGTGAAACAAATGCTCTTGGAGCTAAGTAAGAACAAAGCAGTTGGCCCAGATGGAATTTCACCATGGGTTCTGAGAGAATGTGCAGTTGAGCTCAGCATACCACTTGGGCTGATTTTTCAGACATCCCTGTGTACAGGAGTCATAGCAGATGTGTGGAAACAGGCTAACATATTTCCAATCTACAAAAGTGGCAGCAGGGCAATTTATTAATCTGATTTATTGACCCTCTCAATTATAGACCTGTATCACTGACAGGTATAATAGTCAAAATATTGGAAAAAAT